TGCAGTGGACAGAGCGGCCAACCAGTCAAAGCCTCTGTGTCAACAAAAAGTAAAAAACACAAAAATGGTAAGTTAAAGATGTACTGGTTGAAGGGAGAATAGCCACTGTTCTTTTCTTTGAAAGCTGCTGCCAGTTTCTAGCTGTAGGGAACAAATGTGGGGATGTGTGGTGTATTATATAAAATTAAAAATCTTTGTGGTAGGAAATTGTCAGCAGTGTATGATTTCATAGTTCACTGCAACAGAATCAAAAAAGGACAGAAATTATACACAAAATCCAAAATAAAGGCCAAGAAATGCAGTCAGAAAAAAGCACAGTCTTGCCCTCCTGGTTAGCCCTGCTTGCTCTGTTTTATATAAAAAGCAATTCTCGTCTTTTATACATGAAGTTTACATTATAGCAGCAGTTGTTGAGCTTGTTCTGGCTGGAGATCCTCATGAGAAAACTAGGTTTCAAACTCTGGCCCCACTCCTTATCTAAGGATCTATTCTGGGGTCTGAAACAATGCTGGAGGAGTGTTACATTACCTATCCAGATGTGGACATTTTCAAAGTATATGTGGTAAATAAAAGGGATGTCTATGTACAGAAACGTGCACCCATTAGACTGGAATTTCAACACTGTTTTCAGAAATCAGGTAACTCTTATCTAATTGTCATGGTAGAGGATCTTCACTGTTTCCAAACACAGACAAATTAATCTGAAACTGTGATGTGAGCTTCCTCTTTGCGGCTTGTGATGACTCCCACTGGGACAGAGGTCATGAGGGGCCAGAGGGACAAGGAGCAGTGACTGCAGTGAAAACAGCAAAGAGAGCAAAGTAAAATAATGAGTTGCAGGATCAGATGTGACTGAACGCAACAGCTGGAAGCTATCTCAACATCAATGAAATGAATCATTTCATTGATCTATTCCTCATTTTGTCTTTATTATCACCACATTGTAGTTTTTTTTATTTATTTTTATTTTATTTAGTTTTATTTTATTTTTGCTGCATCAAAAATCACTTTTGTGGTGTGGACTGAGCAAAGCATGCAGGCCAGCAAGAAATGAAGCAACAGAGGAAAACAAAAGCAGAGGAGGTCTGGTGTTGTGCAACAGCTTGACATTGATCAGGATTGTTGAATGATGACGCAACAGTCTTTTGTCTCATCTGTCTGCCGTGTGTAGCTTCACTCTCACTCTCTTTTCTGTCCCTCACATGGAAGAAACTTTTCTTTTCTGTTTATGTACTTAATTTCAGATACAGAAGCAGTAAACATTTAAAACCATGGATGGCTAGGATAGAAGTATGAAATGTAAGAGATGGTATGAGGAGTGTGCCAGTAAAACCAGTAGGTAGCCAGTTCCATTGATCCATCCTTTCAATACTTATATTAGATATGCTTGATAAAGAATGTTTATCACTATTGTTAGTGAGGAAATGATTCATTCTACTCATCAATGGCTCCTTCTAGCAAGCGTTTTTGCCACATCTTTGAGAAAGAAGCTTTAAAAAGTAAGTGAAAATGCTTTAAAAAGGTTCGCCTACAACTTACTCATTTTATTTCGAAGCCACATAAATGTGATCCTAAATGTATTTAAAAATAAATAAAATGTGCACTATCATCCAGATCCGATTTTACTCTGTGCATTCTCATCATTTTTGTGGGTTTACATACAAACTGTTTTATATTTTTACAATTTGTTATGTAATTGACTTTCATATAAATGTAATCTATTACACAATATACAAGTTGTCTGTAGTGGGACACCCCACATAATATCACAAAGTCAGATTTTAATCAACTGTGTCAGCTGAAAACAGGGTTTCAGTGTGTAGTAGGCTGCTTCCTGACTTACTGACCCCATGTTCTAGTTTTGCTCAGCTATCCAATTCCCTTACATCTGACTGGAAAGAATGTAGCAAATTTGTTGTGAATATGAGTTAAGTTTCTTGATGCTGGAAGCTGATGATTACATTAATTAGGAGTTGGAGGATAAGGCAAAGCTGAGGAGCATACGCATTGAAAATCAGGACATAAGAAAGGCCTAGTTTTTGCTGTGATGGCTCCCTCCCTGGACTGTGTGCTCATAGCTGCCAAAACATTTCCTGAGAAACCTGTGGCACAAGAGGCTACCAATCTTCACGCCACACACTGCGAAGTTGATCAGAGAGTGTGTTTGCCAACTTCTGCAGCATTCCTTTAGGTTTGTGCAATTGCACTGTTCTTTGTGCTTTTTTCACTGCAGCTGAAACACCAGTGTGAGGACTGCATTCATCCAAGCGAAGGTCCAGTCATTTGTGAGAATGAGGGGGCCAGGGCTCGGCTTGCTTGCGACTATTTGCTTTTCCAGCTGTTTCCTAGACTCACCCTGTGAGTGGGAAAGAAAGTGGTGTGTATATGTTGGGTGTGTGGTGGTTTAGAGATGGAGAGTGGGGGCGTTGAAGTTAGATGGAAAGATTCCAAGTTCCAGGAAGGAAGACAGTGAGGAAGAGAGAGCTACAGGGAAAATGTGTGTGTGTGGCTGTGTGTGTACAATTTAAGTGAGAGTTCAGTTTCTCCCATTTTGATTCTGCTGTTTGCACAGGGGAAACACTACCCAGGCACCTCATATAGTGTACGCTCCTTAGCTTTCTCTCTCTCATTCACATTCACAGATGACAGTGGATGTTGAAATCTCGTGTGCACATGCCCCCACACAAACATGCCCATATGCCTGGGTGCCTCTCATATAGACTGATCCGCCTCTGAAAACACAAAACCACAATGAATGGCCTAGATTCCAACACATGCACACACAGGCAAGCTACAGGAAGATATCATGCCTACTTACATATGTAAATGTCAGGTATGTAGAGTGCATATGTACAAACTGTTACAATGTCTGTCTGAATATTCTGTGTATCATAATTAAGAAAATCAGAGAAGCGTGCAAAAGGATTTTCTTAGAACTGCAGCAGTACTAGTTGCAAGTTAAAAGCTGGAGCTGGACATAGTCAGTATTGAACATGCCACATATGATCTAATGAATAAATAGGTGGCTTTTTAGAAGCCTGCTTTTACGCGGCACTGAAAAGCAGGCTTTGAAACACCTTAATCCTTTTACTGAAAACCTAAAGCCACCAATAAGAAGCTTCTACTTGTCTTTTTTCCATCTTTCAGAAACAGGCTTATATTGCCTGTCTCGTTTGCATCATTGCCTGAAATGTACCGCAAGTTATGGATTACTAATGGGCATGCTTCCAACATGGACCTTCTTGTACTTCTTGTACTGAAAGGTCATGGGTTGGCTCCTCCAGGCTGCCAGTGTGCACTGGCCCGCCCATGCAAATGACAAGAGATGGTTTTAAGAAAAGAAGCACTACTAATTAATGAGTGAGTGAGTAATGTGATGATTGAAATGGTATAATAAAACCTCCCAGGGGTGACACAGTATAGCACCACAGGGCCCTATCATTGCCCCTTAATTCTTCCACCAAGCAGATTGCTTTCTACTGCTTCATATTTCAAATTCACTACATTTCAGAAAAAAAATATTGTACTTTGTACTCACTACATTTATTTGATAAGTTACTTGATGACTACTTTTCTGAATTTGATTAATAAAACAAAATACATTATAATCCTAAGACTTTACTGATCCTTGGTGTAAAATTCACAAGCTACCCAGCAGTATGTAGAGTACTTCATCTTATAAACATACTGTACATGGTAGTTAACATCAGCTCCACTTTTACCAGCAGCAGCATTAAAAGTGATGTATATAATAATACATCACTAGTTATAATCCAATAATATGATATACATTAATGTAAACTGTGCCATTATGCATAATGAGTACTTTTTTTGGTACTTGAAGTATATTTATATGCTAATACTTCTGTACTTTTATTTATGTAACATTTAGAATGTACGACTTTTACTTGTGACAGAGTTTTTTTACACTGTGGTATTGCTACTTTTACTTAAATAAACAATCTTAGTACTTCTTCTACCACTGCTTATGAACACTGACCAATTGTTGAGTAGGTCAGTGACAAACATTTTCACTAACCTGTACTTTAGTATGTAGTTTCCAGGACAGCGATGTCAGAGGGAGATAAGAGGATGCTGGAACTTTCATATATGATTTATAAGTAAATTATAAATAATTTAAGCTACCTTTAACGTTCAAAATGCAGCATTGCTAAAACACATATTTGCAAATTTCAGTGGTGAAAGAAGTATAGAGAATGTTATCTTGAGCAAAAGCAACAATACCACAGTATAAATACAGTTAAATTACTAAAGGTAAAAAATGTCATTATGCAGAATGGCACATTTGCATTCATGTATATCATTTTATTGGATTATAATTATTGATGCACACATCACATTTAATGTTGCAGCTGGTAAAGGTGGAGTTAACTACCTTAAATACTTATAATTTGAAGTATTTTGGGTAGCTTGTGAATTTCCCACCAGGGTATAATAAAGTCTTATAATTATATAATATTTCCTTTGTATTAATCTGCTTCTGAAAAGTAACTAAAATGATCAAACAAATGTAACAAAAAATACAATATTTGCCTCTAAAATGCAGTGAAGTCGAATTATTAAGTAGAAGAAAATGAAAATACTCTATAAAGTACAGATACCTCAATACTGTATTTAAATGTAAATGTAAAAATGAGTACATGTTGGCTACTTAGTTACTTTCTATTAGGCTACTGCTTTTCTTTTCTTTTTTTAATTACTCACCATTTCTTCAGTTTTTATAAATTCAGGCAAACATGAGCCCTGAACATCACAAAGTCAAAATATAAGTATTGTACTTTTTTATATTTAAGAACGTCTTTTAGTTTATTTTATTAACTATTATTTTTGGCCAAAATTGTTTATTACATACCGGGCCGTCTTCAACGTCACGACACACCCCTATACGGCAGGGAGACTCAGCTCGAGACTGACAAGCCTCTCGACCAATGGGCACAGACACAAATGCAAAACGGAGGGCTGTGATTGGTTATTGCAGGGGATTATGTGTATGTATGGATATGTCTGACTGCTAAACCGAGAGGGCGTGGTTACGGAGAAGTACTGTCCATCTATGTTGATACGGTTCTAAAAAACTGGACTAACAGGGTGTTTGCTTATGTTGCTGGTCGCATGGACTAATGTAAGTTATTTTGCACTTTCTTCTACCTGGGGGAATGTCACGTGTAGCGAAGGGTGTTGGAGCGCCGTAATATCATTTGCCCCTTTTATTTGGTTTTGCAGAGAGGGGCTTTCAGGCCGAGAGGCACACGCTGTTCTCGGGCCAGTAAAATGAACTGGTGTTGCCGTAGCTCTAGCTTTTGTTTACGCACTTTAGCGGGCTACACTATGTTGACATGCCTGCGACCCAAACAATGTATTCACTAAACCTGGATGTAATGTCATTGTAGAGAGCTCGCCTAACAGCCCAACGCTACAGTAACACAATAATATCAACGCCGTCTGAATATTTAACTACATGTTTGTAACTGCTGGTACCTACTACTGTTAGCATGTTTTTGACGCTCTTTACGCTCGTGTGCGGAGAAAATCCATTTACAATGTGGCAATGAATATGGCCGCGTGATCATGTATAAGGTATGTGCCGAATGTCCCAGAAGACCTGAATTGATTCGCGAGTGGTCTAAAGTCTTGCTGGAGATATCTGCCTGAGCTAGAGCTGTGCTATTGACCTGCCAGATTTAGTGAACGGCGTTTGGGATAACATTGTGCAAGAAATGTCGGAACATCACTTAACCTAGCTCCTAGTCCTTCAACTGACCGTTAGATAGCCCTGCCTAAATCTCTCCCCCTTTCTTTTCTGTTGACAGTTTTGTTGTACCGAGGAAAAAGTTTTTCAGCTTGTGGAAATTATTAAAAACCGAGCTCCACTGGCTCGGAAAATTTGGCGAACTGTCTCCGATATTTGGGGTCTCCCTTGCTACTCCACAAAGTGACGTGTGATATGCCACATCAGGTAAGAGAGTGCACTGATTTGTTTTTGTGACAGAAACGCCGCTTTCCTATTTGTTGCTTCGCCATAACGGTACCTTGTTTATATGCATTGAGGCACATGGCATTTCACACTGCAGATTAATTAAGCATCACAGCACAACTATTGCACCATCCATCCGTCCCCGGTTACGTTCTGTGTGTGGTGTTATTGTTATAGGCGGGTGCTTCCTTTCACATTCCACGTATGTCTGTCTGCAGCAGGGCAAGTGCGTAGATCCGTCCAAATCCAAAACACGTCGATAGGGAAACCAACCGAATGTGATGCTGTTACACTGGTTTAAATTAGCACTTATGAATGCATTCGTGTTTAACCTGACAGGGAGCTAAGTGCTGTGACGCTTGTTTAGAAGTGTGCAGTGTTGTTGGATGTCTTCCTTCCTGTAGGTTGACACTCTCTGTTGTGGAGGAGGCTGCTGCTCATCTCTGCACTCAAGGAAAACAACCATGCGGATTAGTATGGAGATGAGTGCAGTAGAATGGACTGGAGCAGGCTTCACTACCAACTGTTTGACTGACATTTAGATAAAATACCTGTAAATATACATTGTACAGATTATACAGGTCCGTACAGGTCTCTATTTTTAAATACACTATTTTTTATTCCTATTTATCTCGTTTCACAATGAGCATTCCTTTGTCTGTCTGCATTGTTTACTGCCTGTTTATACTGTTTATTTTGCAATGTTTGCACTGTTTGTTGCTTGTTAATACTGCTTATTTTGTTATACTACACAGCCTTATGTTGGTTTACTGTTTACTTGCCCCTTGCATGGGGATATGTACATGCACATTGAGAGCTGTTGTACCAGGGTCAAATTCCTCGTGTGTCCGACACACCTGGCCAATTAAGCAGATTTTGGTACTGAAATGTAGTGTGACTCTCAGGATCCATATACAGAACTGCACAGTACATTGAAACATTGTTCTTTAATGTGTCCTACACCTCTATTACCGGATTAACAGCAGCTATTAAGCTATCAGAACACAGTGTCCTGGGTTAAGATAAGGAATTACATCATGTTTTACTGTTGGTTAATTCCTGATTTCTAATAATGGTTCTCCTCAAATTTCAGCTTTCACTATGAGACTAAAGTTTAAACAAAACAATCAGTCCTTTAAATATGAATTCATTATTTTGATACTTTTGAAAAGGAGGTTGACTGGTCCCTTTGGCTGAAAAAGAGGTGAACAGGCTTTTGATTATTCTCTTATATTCAGTTTTTTATCCACTGTCTTTTTGATTTCCTGTTTGGACTTTTCTCAGCACAGTGATGGTGTTTTCACACTTGGTTTCTTTCAGCCTTCAAAACCAATTCAGAGTGAATAGTCAGCATTTTTTCTGTGTAAATGTGAACACTCCAAATGAACTCCCAAACTAGTTAAGTTTGTTTCAAGTCCGCGATATGGTTAACTTAATCTGTGCATTGTGAACACAAAGTGCTCCAGGTTCGCTTCTAGTCTTTTGCATGTAAGGGTGGAAACACCAGCAGTCTGAAATATCTAGGAAAAGTCCATCATGGAGAAATGTAGTTTTCCACTGAGCAGTTTGTAGTTTCTCTCCTTGCCCATATATGTTATTCATTTAAGCAGCTTTGAGCCTGTGCACGGGGTTAACTAAATGATAGGAATATGGGGTAATGATTAAAAATAGTCATTAGCCAGCTGATTGTTGTGGGTTTGTTTATAAATTCAGTCTGCAATGGTCAAAGCATCATGTGAACTGTCATTCAGAAGTTCAGTTTCACTTGGAGTTCCCAGAGCAGGGGTGGATGTAATGATTTGGGGGCTGGAGGCACCTCATAGTAAAAGTACTGTCAAAGAAAGAGTCTTTTGTTCAGTTTTTTTCAGCAGTTGCATTATAGTCTAGTGTTTTGTTCAAAACAATGATGTAATTTTCTACTCCAGTGGTAATGGTAAATTTGAGGAAAATAAGAAATAAAGCACTATTAGCACTCTGTTTATTTTTTTTAGCTAAAAAAAACTATAGGAGTAAAGTACCAGATTAATAAGCAGTATTGATAGTAGTACTTTTGAAAACTTTAATATGGATGAGTAGTTTGGTGCAAGGAAGAAACTACTACACTTCTCCAGATATGAAACGAAGAACATATCAAACTACAACTCTATAATGCACATACACACTCAAGGTTTCAGTTTTCAGCTCATACGAGAGTGAGGGGGTTTCATTAGGACCCCACTGCACTGCCGAATCAAAGTGAAAAAACTATGTTAAAAATACTTTACCACATGCAATAGAAACAGATAGTAGAGAATCATTTGACATTAAAGCCATATGTGAAAGCAGTAAAGGTCTGAGAGTCACTATAGTATGAACAGAAAGAGGGCTGAGGCCCCATCAGAGCTGAAGTGAACCAGAAAGAAAAGTGAGCCCTCTTTCAAATGTACTCACAGTTTGAACACAATAAGAACTGAGTCCCTTTTTGTTGGTCCCCTTTTTGATCCAATTTAAAGAGGACTGAGTTCGGTTCATTTAAAAGGGACCACGTGTTAAAACACTATGGCTGTACTACAGTTTGTAGTGCTGCACTGTCCCAGCTTCTGTTGTTGTGTTGACTCTACTCAATTTGATGAGAGGCAACGTACCTTTGGTAGATTATGCAACCATGTGATTAGAAGGTTAATGTTTTATTATTTGAAGAATGGGTTATTTAGTGTCACTGTGGTTTTGTTTAACAATTTGTGTTTGCTTGTTTTTGGCTTGTTGTAACACACTGTGACTTTATAGGATTTATGTGGTTGCTGCTCTACATTGTGAGTAAACGCACGACTTTTCCTGCAGTAACATGATTCACCCATACCCAGGACTGCATGTTTTTATGTTTCCATTCCATTCATAGAGTCTTTGTAGACTGGAGTAGAGGTTTGGTCATAAAAAGTACAATCGCTCTGTCACTTACTGGGAATTCACACCGAAAGCAAGACATAAGCAGAGCGCAGTCAGTAATGACGTGTGTTTCCATCCGATCCACACAGACTGTGACTGCCATTCAGCATTTGTGTCAGAAGCTCCTGATGAGCTTTAAGGACAGCGGCCGAACAGTCTTCACCAGGCTGACCGATGGCAGAACTGTTATGGACAAAAATAGCTTTCATGTAGGGTCATCAGAAACAAATCAGCCAGGTTTTTATGTATGGATTTATACATTTTACAGATTTTTCTTCACTCTTTACAAAAAGGAAACCAACAATCTCAGTGACACCAGGAGTCTGGTCAGTCTTAGTAGATACTAGTAAAACATTTGCAACAATAAATATCAGGGGTTTGCGTGATTTAAACAGCTGTCTGTGGAGACAACTCTTTATTAAACTCAGTGCATAAAATTGATTCCTTCATCCAAACTAGTAATTACCTCAGTGGGATACAGAGAGGCTTTTCTGTTATCAGGTGCTTATTGGAGCACATTGTGCTCAACAGGTTCTTTATTCTGCTGAGTTCTAGGCATTTTTGTGAAGATGGAAAGTAACGAAGTGCTATCTCCTTCTACCTAGGATTTGTATCAGGGCCAATCTCTACTGTACAGAGTCGTCGTCACTTCACTTCAGTCGCCGCCTTTCCAAAATTAGATCTGAGCAGTGCAGATGGCCTGGCTCTCACATATCTCACTTTCATTTTTCCACCATCCATCCTTTGTTTATATGGCACATTCAGAATATTTAGTCAGATTTCGATAGCTAGATAAATATATTGTGCAGCCTATCCATGTCTGTGTTATGATTTTTCTGCATAATTGTATGTGGATGTTGTTATGTCTGTGAACGTGTGTATGATGTTACTTGGGTGGATCTGACACCCATGCTACAGTGTGAACATGTGCATCTCAGTCATTTGTGCATTTTTTTTTCCATGCTGTGTGGGAACAGGGTGTCTCGTGTGTATGCTGACAGAGCTGTTTCAAAGTAACCACAGTGTTTCCTCACACTATGTACAGTTTCATTTCCTGAGTCTCCTTTATTCAAGTCCTACCACTTCCCTCTGTCTCTTTCTCTATCTGTCTGGCCTTCCACTGCTGTTTGAATGTATTTATTGTGTTATGACGTGTTTGCACATGGCCCTTATTGTGTTCTTTTAGTCAGCCTGTAATGCCAGCTTGTGTATTTCCAGCAATGGAAGACTCCTTTTCTTTTTTGTCTCTGCTCAGTGGACACTGTAACCTAGCCACTTCAGTTGGTTACCTGTTAATTACAGCATTTTCACAAAGTTGATGTTTTTTTTTCTCTATAGTTTAACATTTGAATTCTCTAGAATGTAGTGCATGCATATCAGTTGTGCATTATAGCCTCAGGATTAAAGATCACCAATGTCAAACAACTTGCTGTTAGGAGGCCACTAAAATGGGTTACCTAAGTTGTAGAAAATGTGTGACCTGGTGACCTAAATATTTCAACCACAGTGGTAGAGTCATGGCCTGAACGTCTGCAGTGTTCTTCAAGGTGCGGGAATGTGTTGAAAGTTCAAATTTGTTGAACTTTGACCCCATTTGTGCTGACCTTTGTGTGTACAGCCAGTTACTGTTGACCACTGCTTGAACTGATATTAAACTAGCTAGTCTGCTGGTGTTTCTGAATTTCTCAAACTGTACAATAACATGATCCTCATATTGAGGTTAGATAAAGACAGACAACCTATTTAGCTAGTAAAATATTAACATACAAGTGCCACTACCAAGATTGTTAATAAAAAAAAGCACAGTTTGAGCCTCTAAAGCACATGTGTCAAACTCAAGGCCCAAGGGCCACATCCGGCCCGTGAGATCATTTTATATAACTTTTATTTAATGGCCCGGCGATATGAAGCGCTGACAACACACAAACTACAAATCCCATAATGCAGCGCAACAGCTGCCTTTCTGAACGATAGGCTACCTGTGATCATTCCCGCATCAATTACGTCAGATCAATCAAGCGTCTGTTGATGTTTACAACCCTAATTTCAAGTCAAAG